TACAAAAACCGTAATGTGAATCTTTTCTTATAATTTCATGGCGATATCTTGAATACTGAGGAAGTTATGAGCAAAAATAGAAAACAGCAAGGTGAAATGGTCACAAAGGCCCCATTGGTTCTGCTGTGAACTGCAGCAAGAAAACATGAGCCGATTTCACCTAAACAAACATCAATAACTTCCCTCATACTTCAGATAATCACATGATCTTGGTGTTATTTTGTATGGTTTGAAATGTTCTTTTGGAATCCGCTGTCAGATTTAATATTGGTGTAGGATTAAAAAATTATCAACATCCCTACAACAATAATAGACTACACAAGTCAGAAGATTGAATCGGACCATCCAGCAGTTTTACGATTAAGACGAGAGGATATGGCAACAGAGAGCAGGAAGCTAGTGGTAGCTAATGTTAGCTTGTTGTGTAGCAGCTTGCTACTGTTGATGTTAAACTTGTGGGGTGTGTGCGTGGTTGCTGCAAACTATTTAGTACTTTCACCTGTGTGACCACATCGAAATAGTAACAACTGCCATAATCAAAACAGTAGCTGATGTCATATTGAGCCGAGCAGCCCGGCCCAGATTGATCCACAGATCTTGGGGTTCCAGAAATCGGAGTGAAACTGGGTTTGAAGCCAGGCCGGTCCAGGTCTTACAGTGTAAAAAGGCATATAATCAGATGATGAGGTGCATTAGGATACCCACCCCTACTGAATATTACAGTGCCCTGAAATCAACCAACGTCGTGCTTTGGCCTCCATTCACAGTCCCACATCATGTCAGACACATAAAAACAACTCTGCATGGCTTTTATTGTAATGTTATATGCATCTCACTGAGCACCCCCAAAATGGCAAAAAAGCAGCAGATTCACTATGTAAATATATATAAATATGTATTTTTTTCTTTTCCGTATATCTATATATTTTATCTATAGAATTAGTCTAAATAGCATTTATTTATACTTTTGGTGTGTTTTTTTTAAACATTCAGGTACATTCACTTGACCCTGTTAAGCTTTTTTTCTTCATATAAAGAATAAACACAGACAAATGTTAACAGAGCTACATGTTGTGAGAAATGATTACCCAACACAAACAAACAAACAAACAAACAAACAAAAAAGAAAAAAAAACTACCCCACTATTCCCCATCCCCTAAAGCATGAAGCAAACAAACATTTCAGTGCTGGCTTTGTAAAAACCAACAACAAGCATAACTTTTCTCAGAGACCTTTGTAATAATCTAAAGTACAAAATAGCATATTTTCTGGATTTGACAACAGTTTATAATAACTACTCAGCTGGGGTGCACAAAACTCCACAGGTCCATACATGAGCTTGTAACAGCAGGTCAGCAAGCCTTTACTGTTTTCCATTGAATATTTACTATAGTAGAACATACTCACTTCTAAAATCACTAATTTTAATAGACCTTGGCATATCACAAAATACAAATATAGGCAATTATTAACAAGTTGAATAATCAGACTAAAGAGAGACTTACTGATGATTAGCCACATCACACAAATACTATTTTTTGTGTTTTTTGTTTTTTTTAACCGAAGGCCACAAGGATGTCACTTCTGTGCTGATTTGGAAAGTATTCCTTAATTAATCCATTTAAAAGCCCTAAGAGTGCTCTTACTTCAACTGTGATGTGCAAGGTTACATTTTTTTATGTAAAATTTAGATTTTTCAAAAAGAAATGGATTTTTTTTACATCAACAGATTGTAAAATAACTGGTTTCTTTTCAATTTAGGGCCAACTTAATGGTCAGCTTGTTAAATAATATACAATGTATTATTGTAAGATTTCTGGCCTTTTTTCCAAAATGGTTTTCCGTTTTTTCCAAAGGAAATTTGCTTGTTGTGTTCATAGCATTTTGAAACAGTATTGTTGTCCTCAGGTAGCAAATGTGTTTGGGGGTTGCTGTGGGGTTAGTGGTCACGATGCTAACAAAGATATTTTGCTGTTCGATACTGAATGAGAACTTTTGCTGCACCTCATATGCTGTTCCATCAAATCATGAAATGCCCTTAAATAAAGTACATTTTTACTCTCTGGTTAACCCACAAAGTGAAATCCTGAATGCACAGGTGTACCAGCAATAACGCAATGTGCTTTTCAGCTTTTGAAAAGCACACAAACACCCATATCATCTCCGTGGTTACACAGATTAAAGGGTGACATGACCCTGCTGCTGTACTGTCTGTTAGGTTATGTCCATCCATATAGCCATCCATCTTCCCTTATCCGTGGTCAGGTCACCGGACCAACAGGTCAGCCGGTTCGGATGTTATCAGTCCATTAAATGGACGTTATTAGCGGTTATCAGTCTCATAGAATGGCTTCAGACTGTCCCGACAGTGCCCCCTAGTGGGTTACCAGTGCCATATACGTTGGAATGCAACAATCTGCTACCACCGGAGTCCGGTCTACTTTATTGTAGCCTGTGTCATTTTCTCTAAAATTAACCTTAGAGGTTTTATGCCTCATATTAACCAGCTAACAGTCTGAAGCCATTCTATGGGACTGATAACGGCTAATAACGTCCATTTAATGGATGATAACTTCAGAAGTGGGTGAACAGGTCCAGGAGAGAAGCTCAGACATCCCTCTCCCCAGTGACACTCTCTTGCTCCTCCTGGGGGATCTTAAGGCATTCCCAGGTCATAAAGAATATGACCCTGAGGTTTACTTCCAGAGGGACGTGCCCAGAAATCCTCAGAGGGAAATCGGTCCAGGAAGCTTCCTAATCAAATGCCTGATCCACCTCAGCTGACTCGGTGTGACGTGGAGGAGCAGCAGCACCGAGCTTCCCCCAGACAAATAAGGCTGAGTCTGGCTACCCTACAGGGGAAGCTCATTTCAGACACTTATCTAGGATTGCTTTCTTTCGGCCATGATCTACAGTGGTTTGCARAAGTATTCATACCCCTTGAACTTTTCCATATTTTGTCACATTACAACCACAAACATAAATATATTTCACTGGAATTTAATGTGAAAGACCAACACAAAGTGGTATACAATTGTGAAGTGGAAGCAAAATTTTACATGAATCAAAACATTTTTTACAAATAAAAAACTGAAAAGTGCGACGTGCAAAAGTATTCAGCCCCCTTTTCCCTGAGTGCAACCAATTGCATTCAGAAGTTGCCTGATGACTGCTAATGACTCAAAAGGGTCCACCCGTGTGTAATCTAATCTCAGTACAAATACAGCTGCTCCGTGACGGCCTCAGATGTTGGTTAAGAGAATATTGGGGAGCAAACAGCATCATGAAGTCCAAAGAACACACCAGACAGGTTAGGAATATGGTTTTGGAGAAGTTTAAAGCAGGCTTAGGTTATAAAAAGATTTCCCAAGCTTTGAACATCTCACGGAGCACTGTTCAATCCATCATCCGGAAATGGAAAGAGTATGGCACCACAGTAAACCTGCCAAGACAAGGCCGTCCACCTAAACTTACAGGCCGAACAAGGAGATCACTGATCAGAGAGGCAGCCAAGAGGCCCATGGTGACTCTGGATGAAATGCAGAGAGCCACAGCTCAGGTGGGGGAAACTGTCCACAGGACAACAACTAGTCGTGCACTACACAAWTGTGGTCTTTATGGAAGAGTGGCAAGGAGAAAGCCATTGTTAAAAGAAAACCATAAGAAGTCCCGTTTGCAGTTTGCCAGAAGCCATGTTGAGGACACAGCAAACATGTGGAAGAAGGTGCTTTGGTCAGACGAGACCAAAATTGAACTTTTTGGCCACAATGCAAAACGCTATGTGTGGCGGAGAAAGAACACTGCACATCACTCTGAAAACACCATCCCCAGTGTCAAATATGGTGGTGGCAGCATCATGCTCTGGGGGTGCTTCTCTTCAGCAGGGACCGGGAAGTTGGTCAAAGTTGATGGGAAGATGGATGGAGCCAAATACAGGGCAATCTTGGAAGAAAACCTGTTGGAGTCAGCAAAAGATTTGAGACTGGGGCGGAGGTTCACCTTCCAGCAGGACAACGACCCTAAACATAAAGCCAAAGCTACAATGGAGTGGTTTAAAAAAAAGAATATTCATGTGTTAGAATGGCCCAGTCAAAGTCCAGACCTAAACCCAATTGAGAATTTGTGGCAAGATCTCAAAACTGCTGTTCACAAACGCTCTCCATCCAATCTGACTGAGCTTGAGCTGTTTTGCAAGGAGGAATGGGCAAGAATTGCAGTCACTAGATGTGCAAAGCTGGTAGAGACATACCCTAAAAGACTTGCAGCTGTAATTGCAGCAAAAGGTGGCTCCACAAAGTATTGACTCAGGGGGGCTGAATAATTTTGCACATCGCACTTTTCAGTTTTTTATTTGTAAAAAATGTTTTGATTCATGTAAAATTTTGCTTCCACTTCACAATTGTATACCACTTTGTGTTGGTCTTTCACATTAAATTCCAGTGAAATATATTTATGTTTGTGGTTGTAATGTGACAAAATATGGAAAAGTTCAAGGGGTATGAATACTTTTGCAAACCACTGTACATGTAATGACCATAGGGTTAGGACTGGAATGTAGACGAACCAGTAAATTCAGAGCTTTGCTTATTGGCTCAAATCTTTTTTTCACTACAACAGACCGACGCGACACCCTCATTACTGAGACTGAGGTCTTAACTAAGGAGCCATGCTACCATCGTCCGTGCATGACTCCCAGAAACTTGAGCTCCTCTGCTCGAGGGACAGAGGGAGAGTCCCACCTTGTTCTGATTTAAAACCACGGCCTTGAACTTAAGAGTGGCTGACTCTCATCCCAGCCACTTCACACTTGACTGTGAGCTTCTCCAGTGCATGCATGGCCTGATGACACTGGGTTATACATTACCCATACTAATATTTAAATAATATGTAGAAAAAATATATAATTCTTAACAGGAACTTTAAATATTTTCGAACGCCTAAAACTGAACAGTGCAATCAAAATATAATAATAATTTCTTGAAAATTCTAACAATGAGAGTATCTCTTAAGAGCTGTAACGCAGAAATTAATTTTCACCAATGGCTTGACACTTTTTTTTACTTTCTCTCGTGTCGTATCCTTAACAGTGAAAAATGAAACCAGTCCTGAAAAACATAAAAGATACTCTTCATCCCTGTACTGCTGATTATTAGGGCTGAGATAGTATGGGGAGGAGTTACAGTAAAGGGATTTGTTGCCATTCAATGGCTAGTCTGCTTTAATGTGGGCTTGGAGCAGGAGAGTCTGAATCCCTGCCCGCCTCCCCTTCTTCTTCGTGGCTGGAGTATGAGCTCAGGGCATCCCACAGCAAACTGGGCTGCTCACAGTGATGGTGACTTCTCCAGTGCTCCATAACCAACTCCTTAGTGTCCAACACCTTGGTGCAAAGCACACAGTTATAAGCCGCACCTGCTGCCAGTACGCCAAGAGTGCAGCAGCTTTCTGGTGAGGAGGACCTGACTTCATCGCTCTCCCCATTGCTGAAACGATGGTGGGACATGATGTGCTTCTTAAGCTTGGAAAAGGAAAAGAACTCCTCCTCACAGCTACCGCATTTGACCAGGTTGCGCTTTTCGTTGAGCTGCCGCCAATAGTGGGCAGCATGCTTTACTAGCTCGTTCTCAACTTCGCGGCCAGCCTGTGGGGTCTGACCATCATGAGGACGGATGTGGACCTTCTCCCCATGCAAATACAGTAAATGCATCTTCATGTCGGTAAAGGTGGGAGTGACGACCTGACAGCGACCACATTTTATTTGCAACTCCACAGGGTCTTCGTGATCTTGTTCATCTGATGGCTCTGGTGAATTGGTTCTGTTAAAAATACAATAAAGTCAATAGGGAAAAAGTAAAAGCGTATACTTACAACTGCTTAGTCATGCAATCAGTAAATATCTTGAGCCCTTTGGCGCCTTGAGACAGTTTTTCATATTTCATCACAATACAACCCATATTTGCATGTGAAGTGAAATGAAGTCACTAAAATCTGAACGTGAACAAAGCATTGCTACAACGGCTGACAACCAGACAACAGAGAACCTGAAGCTTCTTTAGATTGTTTTGTGACGTTATCACAGAAAGAGAACAAGAAGAGTCAGTGTTCAAATAATGTTTCAGTAAACAAAGAATTTGGAGTTCCTTTTCTTAAAGAGTCCCCTTTTGATATCACGTCTTGTTTCACTTTGGTTGAGCCAAATTAAAAAAAAATGCCAGTTATGTGACAAAATGGGTCAAATCATGTGTATTATGTCAAGTTTCTTAAAAGGGATCCATGATTAGTTGTAACATTAAACTTTATTTGATAAACATATATTTTAACTGTAAAATAAAGACAGTAAAAATACTGTAGGTTGTTTAGTTTTGTAATTTTTTAAAAATATATTTTAACACGGACGAAGCCATTTTATTTACACACAAAGAATTCTGGGTAAATGATGACGTGGATAGGTCCTCGGTGTGAGTGAACTATATCCACCCTGAAGGTTAATCTTGGACAATATCTGACGATTGGCTCTTTTAAATGAAACCAGAAAGCGTTGACAGAGAGGAGAAGGTAGAAATAGAAATATGGATGGAGGACAACAGAGCTGCATCATGAAGGAAGAACCTCAGCTTAGCCTGTTAGCCTTTGCGCTAGCGCCAATGCTATATTGCCTTATGTATTAGCTCAGCACTAGCGCGACAAACAAGCTAAACTGAGGTCCTCCATCCATATTTTCAGTTACAGGCTGAGTCATTTTTGTGTTCCCCTCTCTGTCATGTGGATGAAGGACCTCAGTGACGAGAGGAGAATTTGTAGCACTGAGCTAATACATATATATGGTGATAGAATCGGGGCTTACGCTAAAGGCTAACAGGCTAAGCTGAGGTTCTTCTTCCATGAAGCAGCTCTGTTGTCCTCCATCTATATTTTCAGTTACAGGCTGAGTCATTTCTACCTTCTCCTTTCTGTCAACGCTCTCTGGTGTCATTTAAAAGAGTCGATCATCAGATTTTGTCCAAGATTAACCTTCAGGGTGGATATAGCTCGCTAGCAGCCTCACATCGAGGACCTATCCACGTCATCATTTACCCAGAATGCTTTGCGTGTAAATAAAATGGCCCCATCCATGTAATATAATTTTAAACTTTTAGTTTAAAATTTATAAAAACTAAACAGCCTTTAGTATTTTTACAGACTTTATTTTACAGTTAAAATATATGTTTATCAAAAAAAGTCTAATGTTACAACTAATCATGGATCCCTTTAATTATAAAGATGTTTTCTTTGACTTTTTTTATTCAAAGGATAAGCATGTTACAGTCTAACATTTTATAGAACTTGAACTTAACAACTACATAATAAATCATCTCACCCCTCTTCAGACATGTCATCCTCATGACGTCTGACTGATGGCTCCACAGTCAGCACCACCTTGTGGACTTCTCTAAGGTGACGGAAATATACCCCCACGTATCCAAAGGCTTTCTCGCAAAACTCGCAACAGAGAGACTGGCGTGGCCGCACCTCCGAGTGATGAAGCTTCATGTGGGTGCTCAAGCTACCTCTGTGTGCGTACTCCTTGCGGCACAGAGGGCAAATGTAGGGTCGACTGTTGGTGTGAGTGTTAATGTGGCTTTGGAGGTGGTGCTTGAATTGAAAACAGCGGCTGCAGATGAAGCAGCGGTGGAGAGGTCGGCTTCCTATAAAAACCTTCGTGTGCGAGCCACCTCTCAGTTGCAGAGTCACTGGGGTTGGTTGGGAAGGACAGTCTGGAGCCTTTGCTGTGGTAGCAGTGGGGAGCGGATGACCAAGTATGAGTTCTTTGTCTTGACCATCTGGTGTAATGGAAGGCAAACTGACAAGCCGAGGAACTGTCTCCATAACCAACATGGGCTTGGGTCGAATGCTCCGGTATTTCTTGGAAATGTCCACTTCCTTTTGTTTGAATCCTGGAATGACTGCTGGTGGCTTCTCGGGGACCCTCCTACGAAAGAAAGACAAAGATCTCTTCTTTCGAGCCTCAAAAGCCAAGATGTCTTCCATTGTCTTTCTTTTCCTGCCTCTCTTCTTTCCAGGTGGTTTCTGGAGGGTGGTGGGCACAAGTGTGGGCTTGGCCTGGGGCTGTTGATCAGAGTTTTGCACCTGGTTTTGACTCAGGACGTCAGCATTCTCCGTATTCTTGCATGTAGTATCTGAGGGGCTGGAGAGTCCTCTCTGGCCACTGAAGCCTTTTCTCTCCGGGGGTAATTTGCTGAGCTTTGTAGCTGGGATCAGGGAGCTCTTCATTTTAGAATATGGCAGAATGGGCAGTTTACCCTTAGGCGGTGAAGGGATAATTTGGACTGCTTTACTAAAGATGGCTGGAGACAGGACAGTAATGCTGCTCTGGGGCTGAACTGCAGCTGATTTAGACTGGCACAGCCGCACTGTGGTCTTACTTTCATCTGAGGATTTTCCTGTGGAGCTTGAAGGAGCTGCAGAGGGGTATTGAAGGTTTTGTATAAGACCAGTTGCGGCAGGTCCTTCAGGGCCATGTGAAGTTCTCTCTAGCTTAGAACAGGGATAAAGAAGAGCATTATCTGGCAGCAGAGCAGTGACAGAGATGTCGGGGGACGTTGGGTCGAGCAGAATTACCTTTTCTGAAGGCTCCTCTTTGGGCACTAACGTTCCACCCACCACTGACTTAGTCTGTGTCGTTACAGAAACAGTGGAGGTTGTTTTTACACTGGCAGCTAGAGGTGGAGATTTGACTTTATCTGAGGGCTTCTTGCTCCTCACTGACTGATACCGGGGAATGGGTAACTTGAGGTTCTTTTGCACTGACTGAGTCTGTTGCTGTGATGTCTGAGAGGAAACAGAGGGAGGCAGGGCCACCAGGGAGAATGTGCCATCTTGACCTGCTATTTGCATTAGTGCATAGTTTTGGGCGGGTACAAGAATGGACTTGGGGCTTGAGGCAGTGGAAGCCTCAGGTAGGGCAGACGATGACTGGCAGGTAAGGGTGGCAGGAGAAGGGGTGGGCACCATTGCTGGGGCCTTAGGAGCAATGCTCCGGAATTGAAGGCTCTTCATCTGATAGGCTTGACTGTGTCAACTGAAAAACAAGCACAACAAATAATTTTTATAAGTTTTACAAATACTGGCCAGCATTTCCATTTAGAAATCACCCTAGAAACTCTCCTGTTAAAGGGATCCACGATTAGTTGTAACATTAGACTTTATTTGATAAACATTTATTTTAACTGTAAAATAAAGGCCCTAAAAATACTGTAGGCTGTTTAGTTTTTATAATTTTTAAAAAATATTTTAACATGGACGGGGCCATTTTATGTACACACAAAGCATTTTGGGTAAATGAAAATGTGGATAGGTCATCGATGTGAGGCTGCTAGTGAGCTATATCCACCCTGAAGGTTAATCTTGGACAATATCTGATGATCGACTCTTTTAAATGAAACCAGAGAGCGTTGACAGAGAGGAGAAGGTAGAAATAGAAATATGGATGGAGGACAACAGAGCTGCTTCATGGAAGAAGAACCTCAGCTTAGCCTGTTAACCTTTGTGCTAGCGCTGATGCTACATTGCCTTATATGTATTAGCTCGGTGCTAGTGCGACAAACAAGCTAAACTGAGGTCCTCCATCCATATTTTCAGTTGCACGCTGAGTCATTTTTCTGTTCCCCTCTCTGTCATGTGGATGAAGGACTTCAGTGACAAGAGGAGAATGAGTTAATACATATATATAGTAATAGCATTGGGGCTAATGCTAAAGTTAACAGGCTAAGCTGAGGTTCTTCTTCCATGAAGCAGCTCTGTTGTCCTCCATCTATATTTTCAGTTACAGGCTGAGTCATTTCTACCTTCTCCTCTCTGTCAACGCTCTCTGGTTTCATTTAAAAGAGYCRATCATCAGATATTGTCCAAGATTAACCTTCAGGGTGGATATAGCTCGCTAGCAGCCTCGCACCGATGACCTATCCATGTCATCATTTACCCAGAATGCTTTGTGTGTAAATAAAATGGCCCTGTCCGAGTAATATATTTTTAAACTTTTAGTTTAAAAATGATAAAAACTAAACATCCTTCAGTATTTTTACAGTCTTTCTTTTACAGTTAAAATTTATGTTTATTAAATAAAGTCCAATTTTACAACTAATCGGGGATCCCTTTAAAGCTTTTATGTCAGCAAGAAACACCACCATTGATTGCATCGTCATGCATTATTGCAGGCAAAAATCTGTTCAGTCTGACATACTGAACAGGAATACCTGAAATAAATACAAGACTTTTTGATCCTTGTTGAAGCAGCCTGGGTTGTTGATATACATTTGAACTCTGAACAAGGTCTCTTTTTGAAATTGTCCTATTTTGTAAATCAAGCAAGACCGACGGAAAAAAAAATGTCTCGTCATAAATACACACATTTGCACAAATGTGACAAGCTGTCCTATTATCCATGCATCTCTGGTCCCACACAGCATACTCTCTGTGCTCCAGGCTAAGGACAGACTGCCCCCTTTGATATGTGCTCAGTGTGCTGCTATCGTACATGCTGAGGATCTGCAGGAGGCGTCTCATGCGCCCCCAATTCCTGGGGCATTCAACCAGTGAAGAATGAAAGCTGCCTAACGGTAGGGTCTTTACAAGATAAAGAGGGGCTTCTCTTTTCATCTCCCTCTCCACTGACCAGCAATGAGGATGCCCCGGAAAAACATGCCCCAGATTTACTTAATGTACCTTGTTCACTAATAACGTTCATGATTTCCCAGTGGGGACGATACTTTTCCACACTGTGTTTTGCCTTTTTGGACTGTGCTGACACAAAATACTGCTGAACTCAACAGGGAAACWGTAACCTCAAAGTGAGGTTTTAAACAAGACTATTATTTTAATTGACCATACAGTTTCCTTCCATCAATCAAAAGCCACAGGTATGGTTATAATAACAAGAGTTAAACTCCCTTTATTTAGATCAGAACTGTATCTTTATACCAAAAAATGGGAAAGATTATAGTGGCAAGCTTCAAAGGGCCTAATGGTAAAAAGAGTCTGAGGCTAGAGTTTCAAACTATGACCCAACTTTCATTAACAGCATTTGATACAGCCAGAGTTCAAACTGCACACTGAAACAATAACCAGTGAAAACCTGGAGGTGTCTGAAGTTATTTCTCAATGCAAAGTTTTTTTTTTCTTTTTATTGAAAAGAATAAGAAAAAGAAAAACAGCTTAGGCATGTTATTTAACATCTGGAAGTATTTCTGTGCATGGGGATTATTTATTCAGTATTCTACTGCATTACAGCTCCATAAAAATGGAGCTATTCCTCCTTCATGTTAACTCTAGTTAAACTGTGACGTTGGCTGGGCATACAGTGGAACAAAACTACAGGATGTGTGTTCCTGCTTCTCTAGAACAATTACATGTTCACAAAGGCAGTAAAAAGTAATGAAGTACTTGTTATAGGTCTGCTAAAATTAGACCCAAATATAAAGTATAATAAGGTTAATGGGGATGCTTTAAGTAGTCCAATTTAAGTGATAGAAACATTTAGGTTTGGTAAAAGATGAGAGGAGGTGGAAAAAACAACAACAAACAAAACCAAATGATAGGCCGTGCTTATAACTAACCTGCATTGATTTTTAGTATCACGCTTCAAATGTGTCAAACATCAACCATATATCATCATTTTAAAAAGCATTTTGGCAAACAAAATAGTCAAGACCCTATTTTGGCAACATTCTCACTGAAGTGAAAGGAGGTCCAAGACCTGGTGGGTGAATGGGGTTAATGACCAATGGGTTTTGATCACTGGAGCTTTTCTTGTCTTGTTGTAATTACCAAAGCTTGGAAACATCTGGACCAGGAGAACACCATTTTAGGAATGATGTTTGTGAATTTCATCTGAGGTTTTAAAAGTTGTKTCTTTTAAACTGATGTAAAAACTGAGCCAACATGATCTAGTAGTTATCTGTGTGCACGGATCCTGAATTTCCTCAAGGTGGACTCTCTCTGGGCTGCAACTAGTTGGTGAACGGCATTCATGAGGAAGTCTCAAGAATGCCTTTTGCAGGGTTCTTCAACTTTTTGCAGGAGTTGCAGAGGCATGCAGCCTAGTTGCATGACTTTTCAACACTTTAAAATAATTTACGCAACCACTTTTCTCTTAAAATAGTCACAAAGCCATTATAGGCTGTCTTAAATTCCCTTGAATTGTACTGAGTATCTCCAACCCATCTCTAGAGAACTTGAGCTGCACTTGGACACCTACACAGGAGCTCTCCTCTGACAAAAAAATAAAAATAAAATAAATACCCAATGTGAAGGTCTAAAACCCTAAGAGATAATAAAATATGATTATTAAATAACTGGTCTGATTTTACCTGTATTTATTTCAAAAGTGTACTCCAGCAGATTAAACCATAGACAGCATAAATAAGGGGCAGCTGGTACGGTGGGGTAACAAGGAGCCCAGCTGGGTATGATGTGGTTGGAGGTGGGCAACAAAGCATCGTGTTAAGAATGCAGTTTTGCAAACTGTGCACATGAAAGAGGGCAGTAATTTTCAGAACTGGGCTGTGCAAAACAAAGTCCTCACAGTTTGATGTTCATCTGGCCAGGAACACTCAAGAGTTTAGTGAGATTTCAATGGAAAGTTTACCTATTTTCTTGCCATTTTGAGTCATCAACAACTCTTCAATAATCACAGATCAGTGAACTAGAATCTTTAATAACAGAATCCTAAATATCAAATCTGACTTCATCCACTCATCCTTGACATTGGCAGACCATATGGACGTCTACGTCCCGTCTACTCTCCTCACACATGACTGTTTACCCTGATGACACTATCATCATCATAGAACAGATGACAAACAATTCTGAGTAAAGGCTGGCTCATATTGTGCATGAGTTACGGCAGAAGAAGAACATCATTCAGCTAAAATACAAAAGTAGTACCACCGTCTGAAACAACACAAAATCCCTCTACCTACTGGTCCAAGTAAAAGTTGCTGAGATGAGAGGCCATGTCTCAACTTTGAGAAGTAACAAACAAAAGGAGCAAGAAAAGGCTCAGAAGCAGAGGTGGGCAGTAACAAAGTCATTTTAAATGAGAACTGTACTTAAGTACATTTTTTGAGTAATTGTACTTTCCTTGATTCGCATTTTTAAAAACTTTATTTTTACTCCACTGCATTGCTCTAAAGGCTTTAGTTACTAGTTATGTTTTTGTCTGTGTTTGTGTAGTTTGTGTCTAATTTGTTTCACAGATAAAAAAATATATATACCACTTTACAGTTAAGTGGTGATAAGCAGCTTTAAATTGGTTCAAAAAGACGAAAAAATGTCCTGCCAGTGTTATCTTATACAGGTATATATAGGTAGGTATACTACATATGTTTCAGCACTACTGCTTAGTCCTGGTTTTAACAGACATCTCRTTTCAGACCTAATTTGGAGCTTTGTGGACTCTTTGCTTTATTAATGAACTTTTACAAAACAAACTTTGTTAAATTGTTTTGTACAAAAGTGTTTCCAGTTATTGATTAATGTATTATTGTATATTTGGAATTACTGACCTGTCCAATATAGCAGGAAATTTCCCTAAGTGTTCTCTACTACACTCAAGCAAAATGCAAGAACCTTTAGCACTGAAGTATTGAAAGCACATACTCCAGTACTTTAACTTAAGTAATAATTTGACATAACTACTTTTACTTTTACTGGAGTAATATTTGATCAGTAGGATCAGTACTTTAACTCGAGTAAGGAAACAATCCTTTGTCCACTAATGCTCAGAAGATATTTAATCTGTTTAGTTTAAAACGCCAACTGGTCTGGTGTGGGGTCAGGGGTCACACCCGGTGTGATGCAAACCCCATTTTTTTAACAAAATGTGAGTGGCAGAGTGAGAGGAAGAAAAAAAGGTTGTGAGTTTGGGGGGGTGGGGGTGAAGGCTGACCAAAAGAGACAGATTATCAGGTAAAGCCAGAGGGGTGAAAGGTGAAGATCTGCTGCCTGTCCTGGACTCAGGTCAGGGTTGAGCAGGAGGGCAGACCACAATCCTCCAGGAATGAACAAGCAAGGAGTGAACGG